AATGTTTACACTCTAACAGACAGCGCCGAACGAAGCTGGGGAAGCTTCCCCTGACGCTGAAATGCGCAATATGTAAACCTACAGGACGCCCAAGGCAGCGCCCCAAACAATTGAAAGTGGATTTCCGGCTTAAAAATTGCTCAAAAGGTGGCAACGGCGAGAGAAGAGAAGGCGTTTCAAAAGCAGTCAAATGCTAAAACTCATAAAACGCGAACGTGGAGGTGTCGAAAAAATGCTAACGGCCTGCATAATACGCTGGTCTGGTGAGGATGAACTGGCGAGGGAGCCGGAACTGTGGCCTGAGGACTTGGGCTTGTCATAGCGCAAATTTATGTAAAAATTTGTAGCAATTGCAATAAGTTGGGCGCCCAGCAGCAAACTTCATAGGAACAAATAATTTGCCCGATTTCTACGCGAATATTATGCGCATATTATACAGAAATGCTTTCAGGTTATAAGATCTTTAAAGGGAATGCATTTAACATTTTTGGAAAGCTTTCTAATACATCAAGTTGGGAAGGTGCACTGAAATAGAGTTCAATTAACTTATATACGAGCAAATGTTAAATGCAAAATGGCATTAAAAACTTTACGAAAAACTGATTAAAATTTCCCCACAAGTATTTACCAAGCACTCCATGAGTCTGATTGTGAATCTGTTGCTAGTGCCAAGCCAATCATATACAAAACGTCTTAAGTAATGTACAAACTGGAATGCAAGTCTAGGCCACCAGCCCAGCCCAATCCAGAGCATAGCCGACCTTACTTTCTCCACCCCTACTTCCTCTTTAGCAAAGATTCAAAATTAGCTCTCAGCTGGCAACGCCTCACAGTGCAAATATTGAGCGAAGTCGACTCCCCGTCTACTCGGTTTTGAGGGCTACGGCAACAAACAGTTGGCAGACAACATTTCATTTCATCAAAATTTCGACTCGCTTATTCCGTAGTTGGAATTTTTCTCACTGCCGACTGTTATTTTTGGCAATTTGTTTGTTTGCCAATTGTCTGCCGGTTATGCTTATCCTTTCTGTTGGCCAGGCTGATGTAATAAGATTTCATTTCTCTGGCTGTCTTTTTATGCCAATTAACATAATATTTGTAAGTGGATTTTCATACTTGAGCGGAATCAAAAAAAAAAAAAAAAGTAAAAACTTGAATTTTGCCTGCGCTTCAGAGAAACTTTGTAATGCCATTGAACTCGCAAGTTTAATCAAAATTCGTGCGCTATTCATAGACCCAACGATAAGATATATATATATATATATATATATATATATATATATATATATATATATATTTATATATATATATATATATATTTAGATGCATATATAGCGAACGAATTTGAGTATAAACAGAGCTAACACCCTTTCGCCTTTCTTATTGCTTTGCCGACCCAGGCACTTTGCATTTGACAGGCACTTCAATTATGTGACAAAAATTATTATACCAACTTCATATGCCGTGCGATTGCGATTCCGATTTCGACTGCAGATACAGTCTGTGAAGCATTAAAAGAAACGGTCAAAACTTTGGAGTGTATGCAAATCGAAAGAGACCGGAGCTGTGATAACCCACAGAACCAAGCGACTGGCGTGTCGCTTTCGAGGTTAAGGTCTTAAACACTAGATATGCGTTCCATTAAAATGGAAGAGCTGTCGTCGAAACAGACGATTAAGAGTTGCTAGTGCTTAGCGTCGGTTTGGCCAACCATTTAGAAATTATGATATAATCATATCAGACGGTATCAGTAGTTCAATAAACTCATAATAACTGGACGTGGCTTTCAGTAGATCCCATGCAGGCAAGCATAATTGAAAAGATCTCAGCATTAAATTCCTCACTTCTGTCACGTGCCCCAACATATAGAATTTCTCATTCAACTCAAATCGTGCCATTTGCATGTATAACCCAAATTTTGCTTCAGTTTGTTTGTAAATTTAGTTGTCTACGACTCATTTGCTTACAAATCTATTTCGATTTGCTCCCATTGATCCGGTTGTCTTAAATGTTTCACATTGCACTGTTTCCAGTTTAGTTTTGCTTTTGTTTTACCTCACATAGTTTATATTCGGAAATTCCAAGTGGAACCTTGCTTATCCGCAATTTATAGACGGATTTTAGATACTGATGCTCTGTTCACAAGCTGAACATGGTATATTTGTTTAATGCTATGCCTGGTCGCTTGCCTGCCCATCGGTACTTTCCATAGACTTTTAGAGATAGCTAGATAGAGCCAAAAATATTTAAGCAGCGCCCTTAATCACAATCGCAAAGCATCAATATTTTCTATTGTAACATATTATGGTTTCAGTTAAAACCCACTAATCTTATATTCCAAATACTCTTTTTCACATTTTTAATACACTGTAAACAGAGTATTGCGCAGCCGTTTGTACCAATATAGTGGATAGACATCTGATTGTATGTGAGATGAATTTAATTATCATAGATGATAAAACTTATCTTAAGCAATTTTTATAACTCTATTATGGACTTATAGAATTTAAGTCGATTTCAATAAAACCTTTTTTTTTCCTTTTTTTTTTAAATTCGCCAATGAGTTTGATTTGTAAAAAATGCATATCGCTAAGCATGCCAAATAAATTCAATGGAATTCATTTAAATGTCAGTATTTGAAATTCGACTGCATAAAATAAGAAAATAAAGTTAAATATGGCATAGTACTCGAAAATGGACTACTTTGAGATACCCTGTACCTACTGTCAAGCTGCTGAAAAAAATTGAAACATCTATACATACATATGAAAAGCAAACCACAGAGCTAGCTATATCGGAAAAATTAGGTATTATGGATTGAAAATATTCTTTAACAATAATGGACAATAATATATTTGCAAGAATAGTTATACATAAATGGTATCGGATCGGCGAAGCTTCCTTCTGCTTGTTGCAGTTAATGTGCTGGGTATGACAAAATTAACATTTTTTTGTAACAAATTTAATTTGCTCAATTTAAGCCAAGCTTAAATGGCGTCATTTGGCGGACCAATTGTTCAATTTAATTTTTTTCCATTAACGAAATTCAGCAACGTCCGTGTGGAAGCATTTTTCGAAACTCGGAATATATATACTCGTCTATATATGCAGCAGGGAATGTTTTAAACAAATTTTGTTCACATTTATTATACGCAAAGATGAAAGGTAGAATATTCGTCTCGAGGATCTTATTGACTACTTTTAACTGACTTATGGGTCATTAAGGTAAACAGTATATTACGATGTCGGTTTTACCAGTCGGCAAGTTTTCGATTGTTGTGACCGAATCTTAGAATATGGAAAACAGTTACAATTCAAATTAACATGCTAATCAGGACTATTAATAAAATATTATTATATTGGACAAAACAGGAAAAAACACTTTTCATTTAAGTTAATTAGACATATTATACTTAAGATAATGCTTCAGCTAATTAGTTAAAGTCTGAAAAAAATGAAGTCTACAAAATTTCTGGAACAGTCCTACTTTTTTGCACAGAACCGGAGGAACATAGTATCAAACAAACTGAACCAAATAATGTAGATATATTCAATGGTTTTCGTGTTGATTTCTTTCATGCGTTACACATTTCGTGACAAAATTATAACAACCATCGTACAGATAATAAAACTATATATAAGGCAATCAATGCCGCCTTGAATAAAAATTTGAACAGAAGCGGGTCTGGGCAATGGGATAGATCAGAGACAAATGCCGCTCGTCTATTATTCAAATAAGGTCTCGAAATGAGCTCGCAACTGTAAAAAGAAGGTTTGAAATATAAAAAAAAAGTGACCTGTAGACATATATATGTAGAATATATGCATGAGAATTCGCACTTTTCTAAGTTATTGCACTTTTCGAAGCCTGTGCGACAATTTATAGCTGACTTTATGCGGGTACTCGTGAGCTTAGATAAATTAATTTTTCCTTTTTTTTGCGCTGTCGGCCGCTGACTCACGAGACTTAACGAGACATTACTGTGCTGTCAACGACTTTTGGTTAAAAAGATGTGCAGTGCATCCTTAATTACAGAAAGTATAGAACATAGTCGAGAAAGCCTGCTGCACACCCTCCTCAACACATTCTTCGGTCTTGTTGCTTGTTTTCTGAATTACATTTTAAATGTGCAAAGAGAGAAGGAAAAGTAGTCAACTATTTGCAAGTTTTTATTATGTTTGAAAAGAGTCGGCAAACTTTACGAGCATTTCTATACATCTTACTCGTAGGCTCCATTACGTGGCTTGGTTAACAATGTAATGCGCCATGAATAATGTGCAGCTCATAAGATCAGATTCTGGCTAGCTGCATGACGTTATTTAACATGGAATCGTCTCTGTTGTACACAACAACAACAGTGGCTAAAACATCGCCGCTAACCCTTAATTTATGCTCCTAACGATATCAGTCCAATCAACACATGAGTGCTTCAAACCCCCAAACACATGACATGCTACAAAATCGCTCTAAATCATTGTCGTCTGTTTCTCATCGGAGCACATCACCGTCTTGGCCTCCGTCTCCGTTTTCGTCTCCGTCACCGTCTCCGTCTCGGCATCCGCCAGTCCTCGGCCGTTGGTGGCTATTATCAGCGTCATCAATTCGCTGCCTGCAGACAGCTTGTCACCGTCGGGTAAACATGCGAATTTCGCAGTCGAGCAGGCAAACACGTGACGATGGAGGTGACTCTACCACTGCCATTGCCGCTGCCGCTCCCGAAGCCACTGCCTGGTGAGGACAACGCGTCCGACTACCCAATGACGATGACGCCTCATAGCCGACAATGACGTCAATTGTGCGACAAAAGCCATTTTGCATACTAAAATCTGACAAACAAAGCAGGCAGAGACAGTACTGGAGATATTGTACGCATATTGCACGATGACTATAATTTAAATTGAAGAACGAAGTGTTGACAAATTTATAACATTCAAGACACCTTTATTGAACATCAAGTACATGAACACCCACAATATGATGCATTCAAACACTGGCTCAATTAGCCCATGCTGAACATTTTAAGGTTGTTGAAGCCTTTGGACTTGTCAATTCGTCCAAAAAGCATACCCTTGAATATCTGAACACCCTTCTGCTGGGTTAAACGTAGCTTTAGCTTGAAGTTAGTCTCTGGCAAATAGCTAGGTAGCAATTCCTCATCCACTGCATAATCCTGCAGTGTGTAGGTGTCCTTCTGTATGGGGCACTCCTTAAACCATTTTCCATGTCGCATTATATCCTGATATATTGCGCGTGCCAAAGGCTCCGCGTCACGTTCCTTTAACATCTTGCAAAAATTCAGGGTCTTACTGATGAGATTGGTGAAGTTACCCGGCTGCGTCTCTAGCGCAACACTAGCTGACAGCTCAATATCGTCCAAGATCTCCAAGGTGTTGACAACAATATTTAATGAACTTTCACTATTGTTTTGCAATTGTATTTTCACGTCCACCAGTCTGGGATTGGCCTCGTAGTCAAAGCGCATAAAAACAATCTTGAACGAGCGCTGAAAACAAATGAGAGTATCTTCAAAATAATAACAGAAATCTGTTTATACCCTGAACACATTGAAGATGGCTAAAAAGGACAGGCAGAATATGTCTGTTTGTGCATCTTTATAAACGCATCAATTTCGAAAACTTCAACTTTGTATGGAGGAAACTCATAATTGTGTCGTCTACTCTCTGAACTTACCCAACCCAAAGCCACAGGAAAGCACGTTAGTAGCACGATTGTCAGAACGTAAAAAAATTGGTACAACTGTGCACGCATCTTGATTCAATTATTTACTGACATTTTTTCAATTAGACATAAGTCATAATATAACAATAATCAGGGGTCAAGCGTCAATGAAGCACAAATTGTCATGGACATTAAAAAGTCTGATCGGATCGCACATTGCCATGGCAAATTGAGTCGAGTAAGCGTTTATCTGACTTTGAAATGATTTGGAAATCATTGAGGCATTTTATTTAAAGCCATATTTCCGATAGCATCGATACTAATTATATTTGTCATTTCGGTGATGGATTCCCATTACTATAAAAGCCGGGAGGCTTTTTGCCAATCGACAGACATCATAAGTCATGTTTTTGAACAGTGTCATTTTGCTGCAAATCCTTTTGGCCCTTTGCCATGGCGGCTTGGCTGAGGTGAGTGATCAATATAACCGTATCCTGATGACACTTTAAGAGATCAATTTGCATTCGTCAGAAAATGCTGCGGCCCAAGTTCAAGGATATCAAGATTTGGAGTGAAGAGAAGATAGTGAGCCACAAGGTGGCCTACGACAATTCGGATCCGCATTTGAACTTTTCCATGGAAGTGCATCAGGAGCTGCACGATGTGGATGTGCACTTGGAAGTGCGTATATCTAACAAACTGGATCCGTACTACACAACCACTCTGAACACCACCATGAATGTTTGCCGAATCCTCGGCTTTGCCAAGAAATCACCAGTGGGCCGTTTTGTGCACGGTTTCATACGTGAATACGGCAACATTGTTGAGAGCTGTCCGATTGCCAAGGTGAGTTCCAGTTTTGTGCGTTCAGGCTTCAGTATATTATACAGTCGCCTCTTTTAGGGTAAATACAAAATTCGTCACTTACGCTTTAATCGCAAATTACAGGGCTCATACTTCATCAACAAGTTCTGGTGGCCAGAAGATCCAACAACGGCCATTCTGCCTGAACTCGAGTTCGATATTCAGTTTGAGGCCCTGCATCTGGATGCCAACAAGAAGCGCACGGTCATCATGAACGATCACATTTCTGGCGAGTTCAATGTTCAAGATGTCAGCAACCTAAAGCCCGGTATATTCGCCATGCTGCCCAAGACGAGCTAAACCAAATAATTCATGGAACTCAAATTTAACCAGTTTCTTTTTTAAACAAGCACTTTCAATGTTTCAATGGTATTTCTGAAATTTGTCTTACAGTTTTTTCCTTAATGTAGTAAAAAGCAATGCATTTGCTAATAAGCGCAAACAACACCTTCAGAATATGTTCCCTCATTTATAGAAAGTTGTCCAAGATTTCAGTCTACAAAATTTGTATACCCTGCACCCGATGGAGTGGGTAAAAACGGTATAACCTCTAGCATCTCCCCATCTCCCACGCCTCTTAATTCACCATTAAATCGAGCCTAAAGTAATTCATCGCATTTTTTAGAACAACATAGATGGAATCTTAGTAATTTCCACCCGCAAGTATGGAAAAGAAAGGTCTCAAAATTATTTTCAAGGAGTTGTAATCTAATTCACATGTCCTCGAAATTCCATTCTTATTGGTGGAAATAAAGACCAATGATTTGTGGGTGTCGTTTTGGGCTCCAGCTTAAAGGATCTATATGAATATTACACTTTCAGCAACACAGAACCCTCTTTGAAGGAAAATGGTTGGAACTTTTGTTTATCGAAAGTGTGGCAAAGATACCCGGAACACTATATGTTTCAAAATTTTAATTTTATGCTAGCAGGACACATGTCAAAAAGGGTTTATGTCTGCAGGCATTTTATTACCTATGGACATCATTATTATTGTTATAACTATAATTATTTAGTGTGTGAGATTTACAAGATGGGTGACATTCACTCTTAAAGTTAATTATGTCACTTTGTCAACAACAGAATAATAGTAAAATTGAGAAACGGACACTTACCGCATTATACACAGTCAAAATGCATCCTGATGATTTTTCTAAAAAAAAAAAAAGACAAGGGTTATGAGTACTTATAAATATTTGTAAGGTTTTGATTTAATTAATAATACTAAAAATGACATAGATAAATACATGCATACATTGTGTGCAAGGTGAGAGTAGTCGTAGGAGAGAAACATATTAATGCAGCGGCAGCAGTTTTAGACTCTGGCATCTAGCTAAAAGTAGGCATGCCCGACCTAATAAAGAATATGTATATATTCCTGATAAGGACGAAGAGACGCGTACATTTAGCCATGTGCGTTTGTCTGTCCGTTTGTATAAACGCAAGCTACAACAGGTATATAAATTCTTCGACATGGATATCGTGGCTTACACTTAAAATATCAATAAAAATCTATCTTTCAGGCAGATAGACACGACCATATAGCTGTAATATCCATAAAAAAAAACTCCGTTCACACAGACAGAAAGACAGACACGGATAACGAGTCGGTCACTGCTCAAAACCAATATAATCTTGTTCTATTCGTTTACAACTATGATCTGTTCCTATCTCTGTTAATAAACAACTTTTATAGTAGCTAATAAATTATAAATATTTAGGGAACTTTAATTCTACGTAATTCTCGAAGTAAACTTCTGTTTTTAGATATAACAATTGAATACAATTGCCTTCGAATGGCTTAGCTTTGTCGTTCCACGTATATCTATCATGTCATTTGTCATGAACAATTTTGTTCATATTTTTTAGCACTCGAATTTTGCATATTTTTGCCAAATTTCACAAATTGAATTAAAATGGCCCGTCAAATGGGCCATCACAGCACAGACGGGACAACAAAAAATTAATATTCAATATATTTGCAATGAAATGTTTTTGACTTGCGTCGTGTTTATTGTATTCCCTCTGACAGTTTGCGAATTTTAAATGCGCTTTTGACTGCGAGGTGGCAACCGCTTTGATTTCGTGAGCATTTTATTTGATTTATGGGGCTGCCGATGCTATTGGGCTGCAGGTTTTGAGCAATTGACTGTTTGCTATTTATTTAACTTATTGAGGAAGTTATAAACTCTTAATTGCAATTGCGCAGTGTTCAAAAGTTTCTGTGCAAAACTTTTTAAGTTTGTCTATTTACTTTTTATAAGAGTCCCCCTTCACTAATTATAGCACATATTCAGCAATAATTAAACACACTTACAAATTTACACTTTACACAAAAATAAATCAGATTCTGAAGGATACTTTGTGGCTTTGGTAATGTGTAATGCATTAGATGAGACATTTCCAACCTCATATAAGTATATTCTTGATCAGAATCAACAGTTCAGCATGTACACCACAAAAAAAAACAGCTGTGGGTTATTAAATATCATATAAATACATAAAAGCGAACAAATACAATTATTTAGATAATCAACATATTCGCTAAAAATCATTATACCATTCAATTGGCGAAAAATTGCCACATGTGCGTTCAAGTTGATTTTCTTTATCAATCGACATTCCGTTTCATTTCTGATATGAAATTCTTCACAACAAGTTGAAAATATGAAGTATTTAGCAGAACTTTCGATTTTTCTGTGCCTCATCCAACGTGCAACTATGGTAAATAATAACATTTCTTCAAAACAAATCGATCGATGCTGATTTTAAGACTCAGTCAGTTATTCGACTTTCATAACTCTTATAGATGACGAAAGCTGTTCTTTCCAAATCGCCTAGTTGTAATGAATATAATCGAAGCTATCTGCGTAATTTGACGATCGATTTGACGAATGCCAAGATGAATTTGGATGTGGACGTTATAAGGCCCTTGTACTCGGGATTGCGGCTAAATATGGAGTTCTTCACACGCAAATATAAATCGAACACCTATCAAAGCTTTTATGAATACTCTCTAGACATGTGCAACATTCTGAGCAATCGAAAAGGCAATATGTTTAAAAAATGGATCTCATCATTCAAATTGTATGGTAACTTTTTTCGTAATTGCCCATTTCCAAAGAATCATTACTACATAAGAGATTACAATAGTTCTGAACTTGATATTCCATCGTTCTTTTTTCCCGGCGCCTATCGCATTACGACCAAGTTGTTTCAGAGCAAGAAGGACAATAGAGATCCGGATTTTTTGCTTGCCTGTATGCTTGAAGTTGAAATTAAATCAATTTAGTTATCATTTACAATAAAAACAATCATGTTAGAAACCTTTTGCTAGTTATTTTGTATAATATTGATTACACCCCTATTTAGTATATTGCGAAGGGCAATTAAAATTATTTTAGTCCAAACAATTATTAGAGTTGTTAGTCGACAGTCTCATGTCCAGAACACATATTTGAAAGATCATAATAATACTGTAGTTAAAATAAAAATGTTCATTATTTACATTTATGGCATTAAAATAATTTTGTTTCTCTTGGTCAATCAGCTGTCTGTCGCCGAAGCCGTGAGTTCTTGTTTTAAATCTAAAGGCTTTTAGTTACTCATATATAGTAAAGTCTAGCGTTCTCATCCAAAACGGACAGTATAAGTACAGCCCCAACTATTTCGAAAACTTTACCCTGAGCATCATCAATAACACGATAAATCTGGACATGATAATCAAGAAGCCCTTGAACCGCGGCTTCAAATCGCTTGTCGACTTCTCTATAAGTTTGGGCAAAGCAAAGCATTACCAGCGCGTCTTTGCCCATGTTTTAGACACTTGTGGAATTGTGTCGGCACTCCAGAATAATATTTTCAAAACTTGGTTCAAGAGCATGCTGAATCATGGCAACTTCATGCTCAACTGCCCAGTCCCCGAGGGTCATTATTTTCTGCGAAACTGGAAGCTGGAGTCACAACTGGTGCCTCAGTACTTGTACGCGGGCGATTATCGTGTCTCTACTCACTTCTTTTTTGGAAAACTCAAGACAAAGCAAGAGGAATTTGTATTGGATATGACTATCTTCGCAATATTGAAAACAGATTAACTATACAATTGGTGTATGTTGTAATTTTTAACAAAATTGTAGAGGGCATCAGTTATTCTTGCTCAATGTAATAATGCACTAATAAACATACTAGCCCATTGTTTTCTGCAGTATAGTAATATTTATTTCTAAAAGGTATTACAGTATGGTTTCGAAACAACCTTGCAATTTCATATATTCCTTAAAATATTATACAGATCGGAAAACAATAATGAATATAGCAGTCTTACTCGACTGGATTTATGTCGATTGGGTATAAAAACAAGAAGCCTTTTTAGTGAGTCAATTATTGATATACAAACTGAATCCAATTTGAAAACCCTTATTAAAATTGCTGAAAATTGATTTTTACAAACAAAGTCTACAGTGGCGTCACACGTAACGTTTACAGATTAAACTATTTATAGCAATAGGCTTATAAAGATTAACAAATAATATTTTGGTATATACAGTAAAAACTAATATCAAAATGTCAACAAGCCACCAAAGGTTCGCAAGAATAGCAGTTTTTTTATGGATGGAAGGATAAGAAGCTAAAAAATGTGCGTGAAGTGCGCAGTTGAGGCGATATTGTTGTGACACGAAACGCACTCGTACGTAAAAATATTTAATAAATACATTATGTCTGATTGATCGTCAGGCACCAATGACTAGATAATTGAATTCGGTTGGTTCTAAAAATATACTAATTTAAGAACTGACTTGCCGTCAACTTTAACAATAGTCAGGTGAGAGAGCCACAGCAATGTGGAGCTTAATGTTTCTCAACGTTAAGAGACTTGTCTGGTGTTTTATATTCCTGCTAGCTGTTCGCGCCAACAAAGTGAAGGCTGTGAGTCATCTTAAGGTTTTTAAATGTAAATATATTCTTAGTTTTATTCACCTCTTTCCAGAAGCACATAACGTTGACAGTAGGAGAGAGCCGTTTCAACCGCGACTACTTTGATAACTTTACCTTCGTACTAGACAATGGCAAGGTCTATTTAGATATGTTTCTAAAGAAACCACTAATAAAGGGTTGGTATGCTAGACTGGACTTTCAGCTTCGGGTGCCTAACTCCAAGAGTTTTCAGAGCATATTCTCAACAAGTGTTAATGTGTGTAATATTGTAAATGTGTACAAGAACAATCTTTTCAAGAAGTGGTACATGAACCTTCTTAAATATGGTAACTTTCTGCGACAGTGCCCCTTAAATCCCGGCCATTATTACCTACGAGGCTGGCAGTTTGGCAACAGTCTGGTGCCGCCATTTATTTCGGGCGGCTCCTATCGTTTAGAGACCTACAATTTCTATGGCAGGTACAAAAGCACCGATGAAGTCTTCATAATGAGCTGCAGCGCGGATGCTACGATTACTGCATAAGCCATTAGACGGGTCAAGTAATGGAGGATACAAATTATATTAAAAAACTTTCCCGTCTATGGCACATGTGTCTTATTTATTTTGGGTATACTTTGGCAAAACAGTGTCCAAAATGTTATCGTAACCATCGACTAGGGGCCGAGAAGGTTTATAGAATTGTATCATCTTCTTTACTTTACATTATCTTAGACTATTTACTTAAGATTTACTATTGACATATTGTCATTAAATTTAAGATACATTTAAATAAATACCTAAGACAATAAAAAATTTTTTTTTTATTTTTTGTTCGATATGAAAAGACAGAATTTATAATTAAGCCATGACATGTTAATAAAAAATATCCCAGTAGAGATTACTAAGTTAAAAAGCTACTATGTTCCTTGGTTTAAAGGACCTTAAATATACATTTAACATACTCATACACACATACTCATATTCAATAATATATGTTGACATTCATACATGCATCGAACATATACTTATGTCAGGCTCCACCCGATCTGATACCTACATCTTTTAGTTATTGAGAAAACTGCTTAGCATACTTGGCACCAATGAGTATCAAAGTAAAGCTTTCATACGAATGCATAAGCAAAATCTTGTCATCAATTTGTAGGAAGTATAGTTTTGGTAATATTAGCATATTATCTGTGTTAGTTTATAAAAACAATAAGCCTTCTTAATATGCCACTTATATATAAAAAAAAATTGGTGTACTATTAAAAAGCATTCACGCATCAGTAAACTTAGCTCTATTCTATTCGCAAAACCATTGTGAAAATTATTGAAACAGTTTACGAACAAAGTCTACAGTCGCGTAACACGCAATGTTTGCAAAGGCCATTAAAATGTTTATGGCAATAGCTTTATTAGGATTAACAACTTATATTTTGGTATATACCGTAAAAAACATTGGTGAAACACTAAATTATCTAATTTCAAAATATCAACAGGCAACCAAAATGGTTTTCAAAACCGGAGACTGTACATACAAACGAGATGTTTTTTCCAATTTCACACTTCAGGTCGTTAATGGTAAAGTTAAAATGGATATGACTCTTGTAAAGATACTGACTGCTGGCCTTAAGGCACATTTGAGTTTTGAATTTCGTGTGTCCAAAAGCAAATCATATCAAAGCATATTTCAGCATGATATAAACTACTGCGTTTTACTCAAAGGCTCGCAAGAATCACTTTATCGTCGCTGGTTTCTCACCATGCTGAAGGTTGGAAACTTTGCCACCAGTTGTCCCATACAGACGGGTTACTACTACCTGCGGGATTGGCATTTGAATGGAAATCTGATTCCATCATTTTTGTACCTGGGTGACTATCGGATTGGAGGCAGCTTTTTCTATGGAAGGTACAGGAAAAATAGCGAAAAACTTTTGTTGGAGTGCACAGTTGAAGCGATATTGGTTTGACACCATACCCACTCGTACGTAAAAATGTGAACACTGTATAATAAATAAAATATACTTATTAATGCTTATATCTCGTCAAGCACCAATGACTAGATAATTAGATTCGTCGGACTATCAAAAACCCTAATTTAAGAACTGGTGTTCCATCAACTTTGTCAATAGTCAGGTTAGAGTGCCATAGAAATGTGGAGCTAAATCCATTTGTATATACAAGGCTGGCGGCTTAGCAATATGATGAATGAATGAAATGATTTTGACTAGACCTAATCAGCCTTTAAGCATTAAGCCATTGTACCCTTTTACCAGTTGTGCGACTCTCATCCAATATATAATAATAGGTATTCATAAGATATTGCTTAAATTTTAGCAATGCTCGTTGTCGTGACAATTCGAAAGGTCAAGCCAGTGGCCACTTAAGCTTCGTTAGACAAGGATACGGAAAATGGGCTTTAGCTGCAGTATACCAAAGTTCATGGTTCAACTTGACCAACTGTTTCTGAATACCCACTCTGATATTCGGGTTGGCAACTGCTTATCTTACACTTGCATTCTGTTTCAAGTTGTAAATCTTGAAAAATTGCCATTCATTGCAAAGATTTTGAAAGCATTTATCAAACAGTTGGCTCAAAGTCTGCAGGAACAGTCGATACATAGTATTTGTTGAGTATCAAACAATGAAAATATCTAATTTGGCGTTAAAGTTCTTACACTGCCAAAAGCTTATAGCTATTATACAGGAGACTTAAAGAGTAAGAGACTTAAAATCTTAAAGATTCCGTAGTATCAATAAATGTCGACATTTAAACAAGATGAAATAACATTAACCGGAAATGTAGATACAATTATAAAACCCTCTCTGTACTACTCTCTAGTATAGTGAAGGATTTCATAGCTTATTACTGGCTTAATACATTACAAAGAACAAACAGATATTCCAATCTAGACTTGAATTCAATTTCTCTCAGTGCACTTTAAGGCAACACATGGCAGATACCACTACCGAGTCGGTCTAGCGACAACCTTCACATATGGCACAGGCAGACAGCCGCACAGCCAGTCAGCCAGTCAAATCTGTCCATTTGGCTAATAAATCCTTGAGCAGCTTATTGAGTAACGTCTGCGCATAAATATTACGGCTGGCAACTGGCCGAGAACAAGGACGTAGGGCGACACTGCCATAGCACCAGGAGTTGCCTCCATTCACTTTTCACTTCAATGCCTTAAAACAACGCCCCGATGCGCCGTGCCCCTGTGGCATTTAAGCATCACATTCTTTGACCGCCTCATACGTGTTAAATAAAATTCGACGCCGTTTTTTTTTTTTTTTGTATTTATGCTCGCTCTGAAGTAAAGTAGAGTATATTGGCTTTATACGTCCATCCGAAGATGTGTCCGCCTTGAAACAAATTGCGAAAAAAAAAACAGTCAACTTTTTTTAAGCCAAATTAACAAAGATCTCCATATATCAACATTGCGACCAAGTCAAACAGGAAGACTCTTTTCGATTAATTTTGGTGGTAATTACACAGTGAACAGAGTATTACGCAGTCGTTTACACCACTCTTTTTTTTTTGATTATAGCTCACTCACTAGCCTGCAAATTCTTGAGCTGACATTGGATTTCGGTTGCCTGTCGTGCTGGTATGCCTGGCCAGGACTTTTTGTTGGTGCTGTCGTGCTTGTTGTGCTTTCTTAAGTACGCTCGCTGCACTAAAAGGATATGCAAATTGTTTGAATAGCAAACGACATGCTAAACAATTTTTACTCTGGGCTTTATAAAGAAAGAAATCTAACGTAACATTTCTCTTTAGCATGTTTTGGCACTGCTTTTGGTCAAACACATCTTCTTATGGCCATCGCATTTTTGTTTGTTTTTGCGCATTAAGTTGTTGCTACAAGGATACGAGTACAAGGCATGTCCTCAACCTCGATGCAATGTACGGAAATGTTTTGTTGTATTTCGCACCCGCTGGATATAAATCACAGTGTTCCATGTTATTCTGCCCCCGCCCAAGGACTCCTGTTGGATTATTGAATTAGTTGATTATGTGCGCCAGCCCAGTTAAACCTTCGAGCAGGAGCAGGAGCAGGCTGCTGCATTTCTAGTTGGGGCTTGTCCAAGGCAATAAATCTTTTGTTTTTCAGTGCCATTTTACACATTTCAGATCTCATTTAAATCCGTAACAAAGCCAACCCAATGTTGCGGTAGGGAGAAGCAATTGAAGCTCTTTTCAAGGATGTCTTCTCCATACCGCATTTGGTAGTTGTTTATTGTGATGCTTGATTAACTGAAAACGAATTTTGAATTTTTTAAATTTAAGCAACAACCACATGACTGCGATACCTTTTTATAAATAATGTTTGTTTCAACAAAAAAAAACCCTGATTTAACCAATGAGCTATAAATATAACTATAAAACTATAATTATAAAACTCTTTGGCCTAATAAAACCTAAAGTGAAGTTATAGCTTAGAAATTACCCAGAATGTGTCTGCATAAGTTCAAAGAATACACGTAACTTGCAGACTCTTAATCAAGAGTCGTATTTAAGTTATGTCAAACCTAATCAAAAACTCTGTTTAATACGCAATCAAGCAAAAAAAAATTGCCCAAACTCCGCCATTGAGAAAACATATGCAAAAGTCAACGATGCTGGTAAACTGCTGATAAACAAGACAAATCCGAGCGCAGAAGAAGGTAAGTATCCTTTTTGGCATTATATTTAGAGTTAACATTGATGGCAGATTGCGTCAGTCTAGGGCAGGACAATAGGACAAGCACCCAGCAGGCAGGACAGAAAAATAAATATGGCAACAATAAAGTTGTTCCCCTGTCTCCGTCTGCGCTGTCAATTTTACGTGCTTTACCGAATGGCTGAAGGCATTTTTACTGCCCAGTCTGTAGTTGAAGTTTCTTGGAAATGCAATTTTGTAGCAAGTAAATCTGATAAAGCAATTGTAAGTGGATTGCATTAGGCTGAAATTAAGTTTTACGAGGGCGGATACGTATACTTATGAATGAAGTTGCAAAAGACGAACAATTAGCAAACACAAAGCCCTCTTTAAGGGCCACAATTTCCAGTTTAAAATGTCAATGTCTCGAGTAAATCACTTAACCCTAATCCTAAGCCCAGCTATTCATATCAATTTTTCAATTCTCTCAACAAAAAAAAAGAAAAAATTGAAAGCTGGCACCAGGAAGGATACCATTTTTATGCGGGATTCATTCAGCGTCGACTCTTCTTCTTTATTCATTTTTTTTTTGTTATTTTTTCCTTGTTACAAGGATATTGAGGACGCGTTGTCGTTGACGTAGTCGTCGTCCTTGCCAGGATGATGATAAAGTGCGGCACCAAACCGCATTTTTATATATTTTTATATGCTAGCAAATCTGTGTGGCAGTTGGCGGGTGCATATTTATGCACAGTTCAAAGATCAAAATGAATATTTTATTTGATTTGATTCCTGCTTGGCTGGGCTGCTACAAGAAAAGCATTTTTAAGCGCGCTAAAAACGCGCAATCCTTGGCATAATAAAGTCCTTGGAGAGCCAGCAGCGGGCCAATTGTCTGCTTGTAGATTGAAATCCTCTACCCACACATCAGTGCGTGTATTGTTGAATATGTGCTGCCAATGCGATTTGATAATGGGGAATGATGTCGGTTATTCTTCAATAGATCTGTTTAATGCACTGATAAAGTGCCTCGAACTATGCAAGCACTTACAAAATGACAGCGAAAGCTTTTCGAGCAAGCCAAATGTGTTTTCTTACACATAAATCTGTTGCGCAATTTCAATAATCAGTAAAAATATTTGTTTGTTTAAAAAACATAATTAAACAAACCAGAAAAGCGACTAAGAAAGTTAACAGAAATATGAAAGAACTAGAGCGTTTTTTTTTTACGTTTTATAGTATTTTCCAGAATACTGGCATTACGTAATTATTTTATAATGCTTACTAACAATAGTCTATTTACTATACTTTTTTTTGGAGTAGACGCACGCACAAAAGTTCTGTGCTAAATCAACGACGCAAATTAAATAAAACCCAATAAAATTTCTCTAGTGGAGAGTACCCGACCTCGAGACACCCAGCTCCGAGCTGACGTAATATCCAATTAGACTAACTAATACAAATATCTGAGCTCCAAATATCGGCAGACGGACTGAGAGATAAGCATAGTCGTTGATACTGACAGGCAATATATATGTAATGGGGTCGCCAATATACCCTTATTTTACCCCATAAAGCGGCATAGAGAGTATTTAATTGTAGAATAACACCTGAGTACATCAGGTGTTTTTCAAAATTCCTAATTAAACATTTTTGGTGACATTCAGTATATAAAGCTGCCATTTATTAAGTTAGGGCATTTATAACTTTCGCAATGCGCACCTCTTCGCTGCTGTTACTCGGACTTCTAAGCTTCGTGCTTCTGGCACAGCATATCAGCTGTGCGGCAATCGAAAAGGATGATGAATATGACTATGAATATGATTCCAAAGAAGCAGAGGATGATACCGACGATGTAGACGCAACAGGTGACGAAACCGACGAGGATGATAGTGCTAGCACTGAGGATAACAGCAGCAGCAATGCCAACGCAACCGATACCACCACCCAAAGCACCAATGATGGAACCACAAACGGCAGCCAGACGACGGTAGATACCGCGGATGAAAGCAACGAAAGTGATAATGCCAGCGCTGAGGATAACAACAACAGTGATTCCAACGCAACCGATACCACCAGCAACGTCAGCAATGATGAAGCCGAAACTGAATATGATACCGAAGAGGGAGGTAGTGCTACCGGGGATGAAGAATATTCTGATTATGAAGACAATGAAGGTGATGTTGCCAGCCCTGAGGAGGAAGAAGCAACCACTTTACGTACATCAAGTCCATCTGCCAAGCCGAACGCAGCAGGAAAGCGTAAACAACAGGCTAAACAGAACAAGCCCAGCCAGCAGGCCAAGCGCAAGCAGCAGAATAAGCCTAAGCAGCAGTCTAAGCCTAAGCAGCAGGTCAAGCGTCCGGCTCAAAACAAGGCCAAGCCTCGTGCGCAGAAGCAAGCCCAGACCCAGAAGAAGGTGCAGGTTCAACGGAAGAAGCCCGTTCAGCGTCGCGGCTGAGAAGGGAACGTTGGCTCACAACAGTTGATAGCAATACACTTTGAAATTTTTGTAGTTCTTAAGTTCATTCTTGTACAGAAATACAAAATATGATTGAATTAAAAGCCAAAGGGTGCGAAAAGTTTCTCAGTCTGTTGTTGTGGCCTGGTCAATGGCTTGGCTCGCTGCGCTCTCGTTTCAGGCAGCAAATCCATCAAAGCGTAGCTGTTCCAAGGCTGCAGCGCATTTCACACGCTTCGCTGGAGTTCTGTAACTCAAATTGGCAGACAGAAGAGAAGGAGAGTACAGCCAGGACAACACAGGAAGCCTGCTTCAACCGAGGCGGCGGCGTCGACAAAAACTTTTTTGCCAACGCTGCTGGGCAAAACTTTCGCCGGCGTCGCTGAGGCTGCACAAAATTTGTGTCCAAAATATGATTTGCCTGCTTAAATTGCAGTTGGGCTTTAAAAATATTTTGACTTGTCATATTGCACCAGCTCAGCTCAGCCCGACTAGGCTCGGCTCGACTCGGCCTGGTTTGGCTCCATCATGCATTCACAACGCTATTTTGTCGGTCGGTCGGGCTTTCACCTAACAGCCGCCTAAATGCGCCTAAATGAATTTTTGTTAGTTGGCAGGCAAAAGTTTTGCCTGCACCTTTGAGCAAAGTTTGTTCGTGTGCCTCAAGTTTTTGCCCAAACATTGCCAAAGGCTGGTCTTCGGCTTGTTGCTCAACTTTTATAATTATTTGATTTGCTACAGAGTCATTCATCTGTGCATGTGTGTGTGTGTAAGTTTCTTTGGGAGGATGTGTGTAAATCCTTTCTACTTCTACAATATTTTTCCAACTTTTATTGAAAGCTTTGCGTTTTTTTTTTTTTTTTTTGTGAATGTAGCTGGGTTTGTATGGCACGAGCTGTCGAAATAAAAATATGATCATTTTTAAAATACGCTCTTAAATAGCAGTCACAAAATAAATTCCTACGCAAGTTCACATTACCATATAAGTCTAGTTAAAAGCCAATTCATTTAACAAAAGCTGAGAGCACGACGAAATTTGTTAAGATAATAGAACGTATATATGTATATACAGCTGTTGGCTGAACAAACTCTTCGGAACGAACAAAAAAACTCAGACTTTTGGTCACATCAAAAGCACCTAGATTAATGAATGTTTGTTATGAGAGCAGATAAGAAGTGTTCTTCCAAGCGTTGGAAAAAGTTTTAAGGTCTCTCACCAGCAAATACAAACAGTTGATCTCAGACAATTGCCTCATTAAGAGTAACACAATGAAATATTTGTGGCTGCTGCTCTTGGCTTTGGTCAACCTTGGATACCAACAATCTACTGCTTTGGCCACGTTGCCAGGTTATAGAAGAATAAAAGAAGACTCAAAGGATCTGATTCAGTTTCTGCCCATGCGTATTAGGTATTCACCCAGGGAAACTGGGAGGGGAAAGTTCGGCACTCTTCGCTCAGTAACTTTTAGCTCTCAAGGAATTCGATATCTGGCCAACACAACGCTTTCGAAGTTTGTCAAGAAACGACGCGAATCGAAGCGGCCGAAGAACTTCAATTGCATGAATAATATTTGGATACTATTCTTTACTGTCTATATTACCTATTTGATTCATGTTCTGTTGTAACTATGCCTTTCGGCTGAGATATGCAATTATTTTGAATAAAGCGAATTTCTTGAGGAATCGAAGAATATACCGCAATAATAGTATAAACTGTATGAAATATCAGCTCATAAATATCCGTAAAATTTTCAGCTTGAGTTGTCAGCTTTTTAGCATATTTCGGGCACAAACTCCATTTGTATCAGTCGCCCAACGAGGCGCACATATGTTACCGAAACATATGCTAAGTATGCTTTACTCAGACCCCACCATGTCTAGGAGCCGGGCTCGGTATTGCTTTCGTCAACTGCAACATAATTTATGACGCTTTCATTAAAAGCGACAAGCGAGACAAACGCCCACTCACAATCACGGCTGGCAACAAATGCCCAACTCCAACTGCCCAACGGAGTCCGAGGTTTGTGTGTGTGTGTGTGTGTGTGTATGCTTAAAATTTTGTTTGTGCCGCGCCGTGTCGTTCGCTACCGTTCCCTTCCAAAGAGTCAGCGGCGGGAGCGAGAACTTTAACTCGGTTACGTGTGCCAGACAGTTGTCAGGCGGAACGCCATAGATGTCGGCAACATTTCACCCCGAACGGTGTCAATTTTTTAATGTCAAACGGTTAACTGGCATACCGCTGCACACATAGCCAAGGATCGCTCGATCCTGTAGCAATGAACCGTGGGCAGTCCGTCGCCGTCGCGCTCTGACATAATTAAAGACCATTAATCACGTGTGCTGATTCAACAACGCCCACTCGCAAGGACTCTGGACTCGCCCCTCGTATCGTTGGGTTAATCAAGCCACTTGGGGCTATAGTCTGGGCTGAATTTAAATTGTGCAGCCAAGACAGGCCCAAAGCGGCTTGGCGATATCGCTCCTCGTATCGCCTGTTACAAAATGTGTCCAACTGGACAAATTCTTTTTACACATGCTTCGTTTTTTATTTGTTTTTCGTCTGATTTTTTCAAGCGATTTTCTTCTTCTATTTTTTTGTTGGATTTTTGTTCAACTTTTTCTGCTGCAGCATTTTGGCGTCAATTAACGTTCTTTGTTGTGGCGTTACATTGGACACTTTTTCGGACCGGACTCACAGAGCCACGGTCATAGCCAAATCTATAGCCCCACGTAGATTGGATGTTGCGCTTCAATGCGCGTCAGCATATAAGCTTTAGACCAAAGCGCCTGCTGTAGCTTCTACATTCGCCAGAGATATTTACAATCTTTAGAGATATTTAAAATGGAAGAAGTAACAAGTCTACAACAAATTTTGTAAAGAGCGGAGGGAGAGTCGCTGCTCAAAATTTTAAAGTAACTAAGAATGTATGGTATAACACTTTGAAGCTATGTAAATGGTATCTCCTACCCTCAATTACAATTATACAGTCTTACTTATTAAATATTTTTGTGTAATAATGCCATTCCGAAGCACGTCATATTCAAGTCTAGGAAAACGCAGTTCTGATATATATTAGGTGTACCTAGGGCGGTGTACCATAAGGTAAATCAATTGACATACAAGTCGATATAATTAAAGGTTCCATATTCTCCTCAACCCGTTGGGTATCTCTAAGCTAGCAACAATGAGACTATTTTAAATAAATGTTATTTTATGCTTTTTGCTAATTTATGCCCATTTAATGATGCAAACCTTTTCTCGGGCATGCAAAACTTCTTTAAATTCTCAGATGGTCATAATTGTAGCGCACAGTTCAGGAAAAACAAGGCAAAAAAATTCCGAACGAAACGATATGACAAAACAAATTCCCATATATTCACAACAGCAGCACACACACATGCACGCACAGCAAACGCACACACAAACAGACACGGCCATGACACATGTCACACACACATACACAGATACGATGCCGAAAGATATCAGCTACATGGCTGCCGCGGCGGCGCTTATATAGACTTATAGTCTCGCATATTGACCGCGACGGGGCAGAGTCCGCGACACCTTCGCTACAACACGCTGGACCTCCTCCAAGCCCCCCAATACTCAATTCTCAATTTGGATCCCAGCCTGTCTGTGCATTCCATGCGGTCGTCCTAAGTGGGCGGATGGGACGCTTGGGGATTGATTTTTAACGAGCGACAGCGCCCCAGCCACGTTGGATGGAGGTTGGAGTTAGGGGAGGCTAGTGAAACAGTCGATGCGCTATGAATGTTTTGCCCGCTTGAATGTGGTGTAAAAAATTATGGAAAAACAATTTTTAATGGACTTAAACTGTTGAAAATGGTAGCCATGTGTCTGCATTAAAGGGTTAAATGCGCATAAAAATGAAGGAAATATTTTGTTCAAATTGCCGCATGGGCTTTTGGCTTTGAAGTGGCCAATTAAACGAGTAAAGTTTTTATATGGCCCAGGGCTTTGCTTGATTTGTACACGGCGTTCCCATGACAGCAAAACTGCCGGCAGTAAAGATTACTAAGCATTGGCAAAATCACCAAACATAAATATTAGATACCCTACTAGCATATCGATTTAGCCAATCAATATGTATGCGTGTGTAATACCCAGTTTCCTCTCCTGTTGCAGATATCATTCTTGCAGTTTATCATATTCAAATGTTAATCAGTTTCGGGAGATGGGAACACAGGCTGCCATTGAAAATGCAAATAGCGCATGGACGAAGCGAAGCTGGCCAAACCGGAACAGGAACAGGAGCAGAGCCAAAATCCAAGCCGAAACCAACACGAGTGCAGTCCAACCAATCAAATCTTGAAATAATACACAAAACACCAGCTAACCACAGAGACAGACACAGAGAACCAGAAACTGAAACTGAAACGGGGGGCTCTGTAGTTGAATTGTTTTCCATGGCTAAGCCAGGGTAACATTTAAATTTCTGGAACCAAAAGCTACTTTGTGGCTTTAAGCAACAGCAACAGCTAGCTAGGCCAAAAGCAACAATGGCTAAGTACCAAAGTAAACATGGCATAGATGTCGCCGAGAGGAGGGCACAGCTTGGGCGCCCAAACTTTGACCACATGAAAGGCAACAGCGACCCGGCAAACTTTATGCAAAATGCCCGCGGGCAATGCACACATGAGGGCGGGCAGCAAGAGCGGGTATATGTACCAGCTCTATGTGTTAATTTTGTTGAGCGTTATTGTAACTTGGCATGCGAGGGCGCAAACTGGAAAAGTGTTTTAATTGAATTATTTTCATTGTCGCCCCAGCCGAAATCCTCCTCTTGACGATGGCTCCTGCTGTGCCAGTGCCAATGCCTTCCGGCATTATTAACTCTTTTTTTGCTACAATTTATGCAAACTTTCTAAAAAAAAAAAAGAGTGCTTAAGTCAAGAGAACTCGACTAGGAGATACCCAGTATACATACCATAAGAGAATCAAAGGATGATATTCAATATTAAAAACACAAGAAAAACAA